TTTATTAAAGAAATATTTTCGAGGGTCCCACAAGGCGTGGATTTATTAAAGAAATATTTTCGAGGGTCCCACAAGGCGTGGATTTATTAAAGAAATATTTTCGAGGGTCCCACAAGGCGTGGATTTATTAAAGAAATATTTTCGAGGGTCCCACAAGGCGTGGATTTATTAAAGAAATGTTTTCGAGAACTATTTTCGAGGGTCCCACAAGGCGTGGATTTATTAAAGAAATGTTTTCGAGAACTATTTTCGAGGGTCCCACAAGGCGTGGATTTATTAAAGAAATATTTTTCATATCCCTCATAGGCGTGGATTTATTAAAGAAATATTTTTCAAGGGCCCACAAGGCGTGGATTTATTAAAGATTTTTTTTCAAGGACTAAACAAGGCGTGGATTTATTAAAGATTTTTTTTTAAAAACCACACTCCATAATAATGCGTATATTTATTAAAGATTTTTTTTTCAAGGGTCCCACAAGGCGTGGATTTATTAAAGAATATATTTTCAAGTCCTCACAAAGAAAGGCGTGGATTTATTAAAGAATATGTTTTTAGGGCTCCCATAAGTCGTGGATTTATGAAAGAAATATTTTTCGAGGCGTGGATTTATTAAAGAAATATTTTTCAAGGGTCCCACAAGGCGTGGATTTATTAAAGAAATATTTTCGAGGGTCCCACAAGGCGTGGATTTATTAAAGAACTATTTTCGAGGGTCCCACAAGGCGTGGATTTATTAAAGAACTATTTTCGAGGGTCCCACAAGGCGTGGATTTATTAAAGAACTATTTTCGAGGGTCCCACAAGGCGTGGATTTATTAAAGAACTATTTTCAAGGGTCCCACAAGGGTCCCACAAGGCGGGAAATTATAAAAGAAATATTTTTGGGGATTTATTAAAAAATCTTTGTAGAGACAAAAATAAGACATTTACATAAAAATGATATCCTCCCTTCCCCCTACATAGTTGCCAATAGGGACATGTTTAGTGTCCGCTTAATTATCACAAAAAAATATATATTAACAAAATAGACAACAACAAAATTAGAACAAACAAACAACCAAATTTCTCATTAACCTTTAGCGTTCAAATCAGACATAAATTACCCAAAGACAAAACACGGCAGGACACAATTAAATGAGGAGGACAAGAAATCACTTTGGGGAATATTCATCCATCCAGTCCAAACATGGAATGGTGGTTGGTGGTAAATATATTGGGTATAGGCGCACCAGTTTTGTCAGAGGTAAATATCAACAACAACATTAATTATCTGAGGCATCATCAGGACAAACAAGGACAATACTAGAGACACAAAAACAAAATAAATGAAAGTATACCCCTCCCCTACATCCTCACAATTAATAATGACTTTATTTAATTGTTTGTTGTAATATTTACTCGGCACAATTATTTAGAATGTTTCGATAATTGATATATGTTCCGATTAGCATTTCGAATAAATCGATAATGAAGATATTAAATTAACACAGGGTCAATTTTCTATAGAATGTTTTTAGGGCTCTACACGAGGCCTGGATTTACTAAATAATATCTTTTAGGGCGGAACCAAGAGGCGTGGATTTATTAAAGAATATTTTTTTAGGGCGGAACCAAGAGGCGTGGATTTATTAAAGAATATTTTTTTAGGGCGGAACCAAGAGGCGTGGATTTATTACAGAATATTTTTTTAGGGCGGAACCAAGAGGCGTGGATTTATTAAAGAATATTTTTTTAGGGCGGAACCAAGAGGCGTGGATTTATTAAAGAATATTTTTTTAGGGCGGAACCAAGAGGCGTGGATTTATTAAAGAATATTTTTTTAGGGCGGAACCAAGAGGCGTGGTTTTGCTAAAGAATATTTTTTTAGGGCGGAACCAAGAGGCGTGGATTTATTAAAGAATATTTTTTAGGACTCTACACAAGGCGTGGATTTATTAAAGAATATTTTTTAGGACTCTACACAAGGCGTCGATTTATTACAGAATATTTTTTAGGGACCTACCCTGAGGCGTGGATTTATTAAAGAATATTTTTTAGGCACCATCTCAGGCGGGGATTTATTAAAAAATATTTTTTCAGGGACCATCTCAGGTGTGGATTTATTACAGAATATTTTTTAGGACTCTACACAAGGCGTGGATTTATTAAAGAATATTTTTTAGGACTCTACACAAGGCGTGGATTTATTAAAGAATATTTTTTAGGACTCTACACAAGGCGTGGATTTATTAAAGAATATTTTTTAGGACTCTACACAAGGCGTCGATTTATTACAGAATATTTTTTAGGACTCTACACAAGGCGTGGATTTATTAAAGAATATTTTTTAGGGACCCATAGGCCAAGGCGTGGATTTATTAAAGAATATTTTTTAGGGCCCATAATCAGGAGTCGTGGATTTATTAAAGAATATTTTTCAGGGGTCTATACATGGCGTGGATTTATTAAAGAATATTTTTTAGGGAGCTCTAAAGGGCGTGGATTTATTAAAGAATATTTTTTAGGGAGCTCTAAAGGGCGTGGATTTATTAAAGAATATTTTTTAGGACTCTACACAAGGCGTGGATGTGCATAGAGTAGTCTTTTGTCTTCAGGCAGGTCAAGTTCGAGGATGGGCTATTTCGGTCCACGTTGAGGCATAGCTCCCATGTAAAAGTATCCCCCAATTTTCGGTATTTATAGGTTCTTGAGCGAGTTTTTCAACCGATTTCTTTGAAATTTTGTACATTGGGTTATTATTGGGTACCAATATTCCCCACTAAAAATTATAAATATAGGACCACTTTTTCTGGTAGCCCCCATAAAAGGGTACCCCTAATTTTCAGTTTCTACGGGGTTTTGACCGGATTTTTCAACTGAAATGGCTAAAATTTTGTAATTTGAGTTGTATATAGGTACCAAATCTATCCATAAAAATTATACATAAAAATTATATATATATATATATATATATATATATATATATTTCGGGTAGCCCCGATATGCAATTTTCGGTATTTTGGGGTTCTTGAGCGCGTTTTTCAACCGAATTCGCTGAAATTTGATACATTGGTTTCTTATTAGATACTAAATGTCTCCAAACAAAATTATAAATATAGGTCCACTTTTTCTGGTAGCCCCCATATAAGGGTACCTCCCAATTTCCGGTTTTGGGGGGGTTTTGACAGGATTTTTTCACCGAATTGACTGTAGTTTACTAATTTGAGTTCTTATTGGGTAGCAAATCTCTCCACAAAAAATTATGAATATAGGCCCATTTTTTCAGATAGCGCCCATATAAGGGTACCCTCAATTTTCGTTATTTGGGGGTTCTTGAGCGTGTTTTTCAATCGAATTCGCTGCAATTTGGTATTTTTTGTAATCCTATCTGGTAGCAAATCTCCCTACCAAAAATTATTAATATTCGCCCCTATTTGGGATAGTCCCCAAATATAACCCCCTTTTTATACCCTCCCCATATAACCCCCTTTTTATACCCTCGACCATAGTATGGAAGGTATATTAGTTATACCCTACACAACTATTTTGTCAGGGTATTATAGCTTTGTGCAGCCCCAAGAGTTTGTAACGCAGCGATATATTGGTCCTAGACCCACCTTTAAGTATACCGATTGTCATATCTCGACTAGCTGAGCCGATCCAGACCATCTGTCCATTATATTTTGTAAACACCATACAGGCCACAGTTATGGACCAATCTTCACGAAATTTTCCATGTAGGATGGGTTCAGCCTAATGAATGGTAAAAATCGGTTAATATTTAGGGGACGTAAATGGACCAAATACTTAGGTTTTGTCGGTTTTTCTGGTCGCTCCAGAGGCCGCAATTTTGGCCCAAACATCTCGAATTTTTACATGGAGAAAGGGGATTGGGCCAAAGAATAAGCATGCCTGCTTTGATAAAGATCGGTCAATATTTACGGTGAAGGGAATTTGGACAAGTACCTAATTAGAAGGTGTGTACTGAATATTGTTAATATTCGGAAAATATGTCAGTGTAAGGAAGAGGTGCTCTTGACCTCTAATCGAGCAAGAGGGTGCAAATATCACGAAATATTGCCTAGAAATAAACATCCGCAGAGAGTTACCGTTTCGTGGTAGTTGTGTAGGGTATTGTGTGGTCGGCCCCGTCCGCCTATACCGCTCCGCTCACTGGTTTTTTTATTTGCCTTCAATAATTTCCTGTGATCTTATACAGTTTGCTCGGTTATATCTCTATTAAATCCGCATGAAATTGCTTGTCTGTGTATTATACATATCTCTGCCAAGTTTAATTTAACACATCCACAACTCTTGAAGCATAGAAAAGTTATAATCTCTGTACAATTTTGTGTCTGCACTCCAGTGAACTTTATTTGCCCTGCAATCACATGACTGCACACAATCACTCACACATGTATGCAGCATATATATATATATATAGGTAGCTAATAACACACTTTGCGATATGATCTTATCAATGTCATCAAAAGGATTTTGCCATTATAACTAATTCGTATCCTGTGGTCATAAACTGTTAACACACTGCAGAAGTCTCGTTTGCATACAACGGGCACACACACACAAACACACTCGCACGCACACATACACATGCACAAAAGGAAAGGAAATGCTAGTGAACATTGGCAAACACACACTTACACATCTCCATTCACTGTATATTGAATGCAAATATGCGTGTGTTGTTCCCTGTGTGTGTGTGTGTGTGTGTGAGTGTATTTGTATTTTGAAAGTAAAACTGACAGTGAAACTAAGTAAATATAACAGTGATACTTTAACCACAATATCGGAAAATATCACAGCGATGGGGAAGGGAAAGATGGGAGTGAAGTGTTAGGAAAGAGTTCACATCAACAATGAAAATAAAGGAAAACTTTAACATGATAAATAATATGGGGTTTTCGTTTTTTGTCCCGTTTTGTAAAAAAAGAACGACATCAACAATAATGGCAAATAGCAACAACCTCAACAACAACAATAATACAAATAATAACAATAACAACTTTAACGACAATGGCATAATGGCGGTGTGTGTGAGTGAGAGTGTATATGTGTGTCTGTCTCTAACTCCGACAATTGCAAACTATGAACATGTCAAAGGATAACAACGACAGCAACTTGAACAAATCCTTATGACAATGTGTGAAAGTATCTCACTGCGGAGAAGAGGAATGGGGGTAGGGGATCGAGAAAGGGGTTTCATGAAGTTCCTCACAATTGTGTGAACTTTAAAAGAGCCATGATTTGGTCAGAGGATGAGGGTTGGTTGTCTGACAACAACTACAATAACAAATTGTACAAAGTTTGTTAAAACTAAATACTACAAAGTTTTCAAATGGCAATATTTTTTCTATATGTGATTTTCAGATGATATTCAGATGGCTCGAGATAAAAACAAATAATATTAAGAGGTCCCATCATAGCGGGAATTTTCTAAAGAAATATTTCTAGAAGTCCCAACATAGCGGGGATTTATTAAAAAAAATATTTAAAGAGGCCAAAGCAAATACTGGATTTATTAAAAAAAAAATAAAGAAAGGAAACAAATCGGACTGGACCGACTATATGATACCCTTTAACCACTTGGGAATATTGTGCATATGTATCCTTACAATTGTATGTCAATGCTCCCTCAAAGGAAAATACTCATGTCTTTCTGCAACTTATGATACATTTAATTGAATTTGGCCGATTTAGAGTCGTCTGCGTACCATGGGACATATGTATGAAAAATGATTTATAGCAAAATCGATACAAGCTATTGGGTACGGCGCAGTGATAAAAATTTAATCTCAATCAGACTTACTTACTTACTTACTTAGCTGGCTTGTTACAGAACGCTTGTTCCATAAGCCGAGCTTAAAAAAATTCCAAACGCATCGGTCTTGTGCGCAAATCCACCAATTTGGAAGACCACGTTCCAGGATGTTGTTTTCTACTTGGTCTTTCCATCTAATTCGTGGCCTTCCCCTTCTACGGGAACCATCAGTAGGCTCGTTTTTATATGCCTTTTGAGCTGGGGCATTCTCATTCATCCGCACAACATGGCTTAGCCACCGTAGTCGCTGCAGCTCAATGGGACTGACTATGTCGGTGTCCGCGTATAAATTGTAAAGCTCGTGGTTCATTCGACGCCGATATTCACCGTCGACGCAGATGGGCCCGTAGATCTTTCGAAGCAATTTTCTTCCAAACACCCCAAGAGCTGCCTCATCTGCTTGCGCAAATACCTATGCTTCAGATCCATATACTAGCCCGGGTAGTATCAGCGTATTGTAAAGAGTGAGTTTTGTCTGGCGGGAGGTGGTCTTGTTTCTAAACTGCTTACTTAGACCATAGTAGCATCGGTTGGCCATCAAAATTCTTCTCCGAATTTCAAAACTGATGTCATTCGTTTTATTTATGGCGGTACCATGGTATATAAAATCTTTGACTACCTCGTAGCTGTAGTCAAGTTCCACAGTTGTTCCGAGTCTACTGGACGTCTTGCGTGTTGATACCATCTGGTTTGGTCTTCTCACCGTTTACTGCCAGACCCACTTTTGCGGACTCCTTCGCAATTTGTTCAAAGGTGACTGTTACCGCTCGCAATGGTCGACCCATTATATCGATGTCATCGGCGTAGGCGAGAAACATGTGTTGTTTGGTGTACAGAGTGCAATTTCTGTTCACCTTTGCGTATCGTATGACCTTTTCCAGTAGGATGTTAAAAAGATCACACCACAAACTGTCACCTTGTCTGAGTCTTCGTTCGGTATTGAAGGGCTCCGATAGGTCCTTTCCGACTTTAACTGCTGATCTTGTGCCACTTAAAGTTATCCTGCATCGCCGTATTAATTTTGCAGGAATGCCGAACGTAGACATGGCTTTAAACACCTCTGAACGGATAGGGCTGTCGAATGCGGCTTTATAGTCGACAAATAGGTAGATTTTTACGAAACTTAACACACATCATTTCAGACCTTACTCATTACACTGTGCCAAATTTCGTGCAAATCGAAAGGTATATAGGGACTTTGGTACATCATTTATCTTAAATCGGAAGAAAGAATATATGGGAGCTATATCTAAATCTGAACCGATTTTCATGAAACTTAGCACACATTATCAAAGAAGCAATTCATATATATATATATATATATATATATCGGTTGAAAATATATATGGGAGCTATATCTAAATCTTAACCGATTTTCAGAAAACTTAACACACATAATTCTAGACCTAATTCATTATGCTTTGCCAAATTTTTGGATATATAACTTGGCACACGTGCAAATATATATGGGATTCTTGACCGATTTTAATTTTCATTAATTTATGCAAATAATGATATATCTTGCACCTTAAATCGGACGAAAATATTTATGGGAGCTATATCTAAATCTGAACCGATTTTCACGTAACTTTGCACACATCATTCTAGGCTTAATTCAGTACGCCATGTTACATTTTATGCAAATCGAAAGGTATATAGTGACTTTCGTACACAATTTACCTTAAATCGATCGAAGATATATATCGGAGCTATATCTAAATCTGCACCGATTTTTACGAAATTAATCACACATCATTCTAGACCTTATTCATTACGCTGTGCCAAGTTTCGTGCAAATCGAAAGGTATATAGGGACTTTGGTACGCCATTTACCTTAAATCGGATGAAAATATATATATGGGAGCTATATCTAAATCTGAACCGATTTTTTTCGAAACTTGGCACACGTCATTCTTGACCTAATTCATTACTCTATGCTAATTTTCTTGCACATCGAAAGATATATAGGGACTTTGATGCCCCGTTTACTTTAAATCAGACGAAGATATATATGGGAGCTATATATAAATCTGAACCGATTTTCACGAAACTTGACACACATCAGTCTAGACCTATTTCATTACGCTATGAAAAATTTCGTGAAAATCGATTTTTCTCAATTTCAATAGAGTTCTTCCTTGGGCCAAACAAATGAACTGTGGCAAATTTCATCCAATTCGAATCATAAATGCGACCTGTACTTTGTTTACAATTTAACATGAAAAGACGAGCGGACGGACATGCATAAGTCGACTCAGAAAGTGGTTCTATGCATATTCTTAAAAGGAACCATGGGTCTATCTCGATTATTTTTTCCTGTTACAAACCTATGCACAAAGACATAATACCCTGTACCACAGTGTGGTGAAGGGTGTAAATAGCGGTCCCGTCATATCGGGGATTTAGTAAAAATTATTGTTGGAGGCCTTGGATAGGCGTGGATTTATTAAACAAATATTTTAGAGAGGCCACACCAAGTTGTGGATTTATTAAAGAAATATTTTTGGAGGCCTTGGATAGGCGTGGATTTATTAAAGAAATATTTTTGGAGGCCTTGGATAGGCGTGGATTTATTAAAGAAATGTTTTTGGAGGCCTTGGATAGGCGTGGATTTATTAAAGAAATATTTTTGGAGGCCTTGGATAGGCGTGGATTTATTAAAGAAATATTTTTGGAGGCCTTGGATAGGCGTGGATTTATTAAAGAAATATTTTTGGAGGCCTTGGATAGGCGTGGATTTATTAAAGAAATATTTTTGGAGGCCTTGGATAGGCGTGGATTTATTAAAGAAATATTTTTATTTTCCCCTGCCGTTCTACCCACCCTATTGTATTCACACAAATGGCATTTTGTTTTTGTTAAAATATGTTTGTCTGTTTGTATTTATTCAACAACAATGACATTTTAAGTTTACCCAACAACAGCAACTATCCATTCATTCCATTCATTTTGACTTTACCAAAGAAATACTAGAAAAGTCAACAAGAATATTACATTTATTTGGGTCATTTTATAAAATGTTCGGAAGAAGTACATTTGCCGAACATATGCAACGCAATATTGCTAAATATTTAGTTCATTTACTTTTTTTGGTTCAAATTGCGAACGGAATATAGGTTGTTCGGGGTCAATCACATGGAGAGCAATTTATTGCTTGATTTCATAGACATACATACATATGTATGTATATACATATTTATGTATGTATGTTTGTGTATTATGAAGTAGTTTTTGGTTTTTATTTCAAATCAATATGTACATGAAGATATTCGATGATGAGCCATATGTTCTTCGAATAGTGGTCAAAGGTTATGACAGTTGCAGGAATACGAAACAAAAAATTAAAAATACAAACATGGCAAAATTAATTGATTTTAAAACGGAAAATATTGATTTGAAATATATGTAAAATAAATATTTCTTTAACAAATACACGCTTTGGTTAGACCTCTAAAAATATTTATTTAACAAAATCACGCCTAAAATTATATCCAAAAATCAATAAAGGTTTGGCCTACTTGAAGATAATTTCTTCATGTTCCTAGAAAAAAACTCTTCTATCCCATTACGAATTTTTTTTTCAACTAAAAAAAGCCATTTAATCAAAATCGATTACCTGCCTTCCCCCGCCATCCACCTCTTAATGGTTTCGATAACATTTCGAATACCGAATACATAACTTCTATTATTTTAAATGCTTATTGCACATAGACATGAAATGTTTGATAGAAATCGAAATAATAATAGAACTATTGAACAAAATTAGTATTTGTTTTAATGATTCGACATTTGAAAATAGTAATAAAAAATATACAACAGCAACAATAACATAAACCTCAAAAGACAATTTAAAAATTTGCTGCAGTCAAAGCATACTTTGCTGTCGAAGTTTATTACGATTTACTTTTACGAACTAGAAGGTAAAATGCAAAAGGACTTAAGTCAACAAATAAAAGTAATCAGTTGGTGAAAAATATTCTCTAAAAAATCCACGCCTTGTATAGAGCCTTGTGGAAAATTTTCAAAAAAAAAAAATTCTTGCCTTCACGGCTATATAATATAATGTCTAAAAATTCGACGCCTTGGTTAGACCCATGAAAAAATATTTTTTATGCCCTTCAACACAGTGTGGTACAGGGTATTATGTCTTTGTGCATATGTTTATAACAGGCAGAAATAATCGATATAGACCCTTGGTTCTTTTTGAGAATATGC